AATATCCTGAAATTTTCTATTGGTTTTGTATTGAGACTAGAAATGAGTATCACTCTCAGTTTCCTTAAGGTAAACTAGTCAAGTTTAAAAGGGGAGTATCATCTCCCTAAATCTTGAGTTGATGGTAACAGGCTGGGCCATTTCTTAAGGGCCTAGATTCTGTTCTTACTGTTCACTTGAAAGACAGACCAAACTTTTATTTATTTTCCTTTTTCTCCTTCTTTCTTTCCTTTCTTTCTTCCTTCCTTCCTTACTCTTTCTTTTTTCTCTTTCTTTCTTTCTTTCTTTCTTGTCCTGTGGCTTGAACTCAGTACCTGGGTACTGTCCCTGAGCCATAGTGACACTTCCAGCCTTTTCTGAGTAATTCATGGATTTACCTGCCCAGTCTAGCTTTGAAGCACAATCCTCAGGTCTCAGCCTCCTGAGTAGCTAGGATTACGCATTGGCACATGGCCACACCAAACTCCTTACCACCCACCAAACTTGTGGCTTGTGTTAATGAATAAGTTGAATACAGGAATTTCATTATGTGCAGTCCATTTATCAAAACATCATTTACACACCACAAAGAAATACCATTTAATTTGCAAACAAACAAATAAATAAAATGGACCAAAGACTATCTCCAACATTCCTTTTTATACCAGTGTTTCATGTGCAGTCCTCCACAATAATTTTGAAGACAAATCAGGGAAACGTTAGGCCAGTTGTTTTCCTACATGCATCCTACCATGATTTCTGCTGGAGTTTTGTAACTTTCTCTGGTACCTAGTAAGCCTAGAAAATCTGCTACGTTGTATCTTGTTTCTTTTGTTGTTGTTGCTTGTTTGTTTTGTGTTTACCTCCATAAATGGTAAACTAAATGGGGGACAGGAAATCTTAAGAATAAATACATCAGTTAATGCTTCAAAAATAACAAGAATTTGGAAGGAACAAATTTTGGATCTTATAAGATGTACTTGGTACCAGGAACTTTAATGAGAAGATGCACAGAGTAATAAAAATGATGGAATAATCCATTAATTGTTTCATCAACCAAAGAGATTAAGGCCTCATGATCCAATCACTACCCTAAAGCCCATCAACCAAGCCTTTGTTCATGGAACTAAATGTTCCGTGGAACATTTCAGATCTACACCATAACATTCAGAACACCAGCAAAAACCTTTGTAATCTTTAAAACTCTCAGTCCAGAGCCATACTCTCCTGAAGACTTCTCCAACATTCTCAAACAAAATGTCACTGTTTCTCTACCTTTCCTTTTATATTAGTGGTATCACTAATGTATCAATCATTTCAATCTGCTCATAGTATAATTATTGACAGAAATCCTCCTCTCTTGGAGACCAGAGGCCCTCTTGAACTCATTTCCCGAATATAAGACACTATCCTGTATCTTAAGGGCAACAAATGGTCATTTCAAAATGCTAATTTTGTTCTATGAGCAGTTACACTTTCTCCTGTCTTTCTTTCTTTTCTTCTTTCTTTCTATTTATTCATTTATTGCTTTTTAAAACTTTCTCCTTTAAACTGTATATTGCTTGATCTAAGCTATCAGTCTTACAGAAAGATGACTGAAAAACTAGCTCCCAACATCTCTTCACTGAAAAAAGTGTCAAACACTACTAAACTGAGATAGATTCTAGGTATATTTCAATATTCCCTTTTTCTAATATTCACCTTAATGAGAGACAATTTGATATATACACATCCCATTTTTTATGCTTTGCTATAAGTAAACTCTTGAGCAGTCATAAAATCTGTTTGTCCTACAAGTATTTCTGTACTAACCCAGAAAAAATGTCCTAACATTAGGTCCATGAAGAGAACCATCCTAATACGTTTATTTCTTATGGAAACAGCTATCAAAAAATGGCTCAGTCTTCATTATGTCTAATGAGAACCTTACTAAAATATTTTCCTCTCCCCACTTTTTTCCCCTTCATCTGAGAGGGAAGTTGTCCAGTAAGAGCCATAATCCTACTGGCTAAAGTTAAGTTGTTACTTCAGCTGTGACAGAAGGATACAAAGCCTACTGGGGTATGTTAGATAGAGCCCATAGTTGAGTGTGTATTTGTGTGTGTGTGTACATAAATACATATCCATATATATGTATGTATTATACATATATGTAATATTATACATGTATGTATGTATATATATATATATATAATGTGCTTAGGCATCAGAACTAAAACATCAGAATTTCAAGGCTTAAACCTGCAACTCCTATTTTCTGCAGCATAGCAAAGTAATTTACTCTCCAAATAAAATAATCATCCACTTTTTAGATCAGAGGTTCTCAAATATAAGGTTTCCAAACCAGCAGCGTGATTATCACCTGGGAACTTGTTAGAAATGCAAATTCTCAGCCACACCCTCCACCCACTGAAGCAAAAACCCCAGGTGTAGGTTCAGCAGTCCTGTTTTAACAAGCCCTCCAGGGAATCCAGATGCACAGAAAGGTTTGACAACCACGGTTCTTCTGTGGTCTGTGGGTGCAGGCTTTTGCATCCCCGGGGAGCTTGTTAGAAATGCAGAATTTCAGGCCCTAGACCTATGGGGCCTATGCATTTTAACCAGATCCCTGAGTGATGAGTCCACACATCAAGTCTGAGGAGTACAATCAAGGATAGAATTGAAATTTTTACTCTGAATAATTAATAGGGCACTGGGAATTTTGTGAACAATTCTCTTGTACCTTCTTCACTTAATCCTCCCAGAAAACTTGTAGATCAAATATTGTGATACCAGAAAGTTAGGGCAGCTAAGTTGACCGTGGTCCCTTGCACTCAGCAAGGAAAGGATTCAGACAAGACCCTCACAGAATAGGTGATAGAAAAGTTTATTCGAAAAGAACATGGCAGAGAAGGAGAGCTTGTGGCATGGGATGACAGCACGCCAGTCTATCTCAGCCATCTTTCCTTGTCCACCACATTACAAAGCTTGGCCTTGGGTTAACTAGGGAGTCCTTGAAGACTGCTTTCTCCTTTCAGTTTTCTATATAGTCATGGAACTAAAGATTTAGTGCCCCTTCCTTATTTCCACATTCTTTTATCCTTACAGGTGTTAAGTAAGGATGTTCCTCATTCTTTTGAAGTCATCTGCTCCCATTTCATTGTCAGGCAGGTTTTGGCTTCTCCACTTACCTTGTCATCTGCAATTTGTAGAGGCTAAAATTCCCTGAATGCCTGCTTTTCTATTAACTTCTATCAGCAGGAGAGAAGACAATTTACCAAATGTGGAAAAACCAGCAAACAGAATTAGGTCCTGGATTGGACCCAAGCAATTTGACTTTGGAACATAGGCTTGTAGTTACCATCTATAACTAGTTTGTTTGTTTTTTTAATGTAAAGGTGATGTACAAGGGGGTTATAGTTACCTAAGTCGGGTAATGAGTGCATTTCTTTTTGAACAGTGTCATCTCTTCCCTCATTTTCTCCCAGTTTTTTTTCCCTCCCAACGCCCCTCTTTCCCATGTTTTACAGCTCATTTCCAACATAGTACCTAGTATCACTGCTGAATTACTTTGCCCTTTGTCCCACCATTAATTATTCTAAGTAACTCTAAGGCTGTTGGTTTGGTTTGAGTTTTTTTCCTCATCACACTGCCTCCCTAACAGCAATTTCACTCAGCGACCAATTAAGCCTTTTCCTAAAACTAAAAATGATATATACAACTATTTTAGCTGAGCAAATATTTTGAAGTCTGTTTTATAACAGACAACTCTGTTACCTAGGGAACTGGCACTCCTGGAAGCAGTCACCTTCCCCTCCTGCTAGGTCACATCCTGGGCCACCTCTGGTCACAGGCCTCCCATCTGATCTCAGGAGGGTTCCAGACCCTGAGGTCACAACCACATCCAGTGTGGCCACGCCTTTCCCCCACCTGGCCACACCTCTTCCTGTCTCAGGCCTAGATAAGTTCTGGCCCAGGGGTGGGTAGCCCCTTCCTTTTTCAGCCACGCCTCTCCACCATGTGTGGCTGGGGCAGCAGTTTGATAAATAAACTTCTTTTCCTGCCTGAATAGCAAGTGATATTTTCTTCACCAGCTAACTAATGAAACCTACCTATTTAATATACCTTACATATATATATATATATATATACATACATACATACAATGGAATTCTATGCCTCCATCAGAAAGAATGATATCACTCCATTTGTTAGGAAATGGAAAGACTTGGAAAAAGTTATATTAAGTGAAGTTAGCCAGGCCCAAAGAGTCCCATGGTTTCCCTTATTTGCAATAACTAGTATATGTCTACAGCAAGCAGAAAAGGTCAAAAGGTATGTACATATGACCATATAAGATGGTGATAAGCAAAATGAACCCCAGGATAGGGACACAAGTGGGTTTTTTTTCTTGCTTGCTATTGTTTTTAACATATTTATAATGTACCATGTGATTTTTTTTTGTTTCTTTGGTATGTTCCTCCTCCACAATATAACCCCTGTTTTCACTATATTTGATTCCGGTGCCCTGCATCTTGTATATACATTTTTCTGATTTGGGGAGGGGGAGGGAAAAAATGTTTAAATAGGGGTACAGGTTGACCCATTGTAACAATGAGATGTACAAAACACTATGCTGAAAACGAACTTTACAACTTCAGGTGCAGGGAGCCGGGAGGAGTTGGGGAAGTGAGGAGGGAAAGGATGATAGGGGAAAAACAGAGGAGGTAACAATGCTCTATAGGAAATGTACTCATTACCTTACTCATGTAACTGTAACCCCTCTGTACAGTATCTTTACAATAAAATATATATATATTAAAAAAATAACTAGTGTTTTATCTGAGGACCATGAAGCATCACCACAGCATTTAAGGGTTCATAGACACTCAACTAGTTACTTTGAGCACATACATAAATGGATATACACAAAAAGTTCAAAACATCCCCCCGTGGCCATCAGAACTTCAAGTTGAAAATAATTCATCTGGGTGGTCCCAGTCTTCCCTGCCGCCCGCCTCGTGGGCAGGGCCGGCCCGGCCATGGAGTCCTGCGACATTGTCACCAGTCAGCCAACGGTTCAGGGGTGATCAAGGCCGGCTTCGCAGGAGACCAGATTCCTGTTTTCCAAACTATGTTGGGCGGCCTAAGCACCTGAGGGTGATGGCTGGAGCTCTAGAGGGGGACCTCTTCATCCGACCAGAAGCAGAGGAGCACCGGGGGCTGCTGGCCATCCGATACCCCAGGGAGCCCGGCGTGGGGCGGGACTGGAATGACATGGAGCGAATCTGGCAGTATGTCTATTCCAAGGATCCGCTGCAGACCTTCTCGGGGGAGCACCCTGTTCTTCTAACCACTCAACCCCAGTAAGAACCGGGAGAAAGCTGCAGAGGTATTCTTCAACGTGCCAGCTCTGTTGATCTCCATGCAAGCCGTGCTCAGCCTGTACACCACAGGACGCACGACAGGAATGGTTTTAGACTCGGGGGATGGGGTCACTCATGCTGTCCCCATCTGCGAGGGCTGTGCCATGCCACACTCCATCATGCGGGTGGATATTGCTGGCTACTGGCCACTGCTATGCCGGAAGGGGCCGACTTTCACACCTTGGCTGAGTTTGAGGTTGTCCAGACCATCAAAGAGCGAGCCTGCTACCTGTCCATCATCAAGGATGAGGCTTTGCAGACAGAGCAGGTGCAGTATACCTTGCCAGATGGCAGCACACTTGATGTGGGCCCTGCACGTTTCCGGGCCCCTGAGCTGCTATTCCAGCCAGATCTGATAGGTGATGACAGTGAGGGGCTCCATGAAGTACTGGCCTTGGCCATCCACAAGTCGGACGTGGCCCTTCGCCGGACACGGTTTGCCAACATTGTGTTCTCGGGTGGCTCAACACTTTTCAAAGCCTTCGGTGACCCGTTACTAAGTGAAGTAAAGAAGCTTGTCCGTAAGGACGTTAAAATAAAGATCTCAGCTCCTCAGGAACCGTTGTACTCTACATGGATCGGTGGTTCCATCTTGGCCTCCCTGGATACTTTTAAGAGGATGTGGATATCCAAAAAGGAGTATGAAGAGGGTGGTCAGTGCTATTCATCGCAAAACCTTCTAATGCCCAAAGAGGGTGGAACATGTTGGAGGGGATGGAAGAAAGGGGAATGTGAGCCTTTGCCCTTTAGATCTGGGCTCACATTCTAAGCTTAGGCTTCTGCATGCCCTGGGCCATGGGCAGGTGGTACAGAAGTGCTCTCCTGCAGCCCTCCCCCCACATGCGTGCACGCACACATACACAGTAACATTTAACTGCATGGATGGCAGTCTAGAGCTGGAGCATAGGGATTGAGAAGCCCAGTATCAGGTATTCCCCTCAGCAGGGTCTGTTAGGCCTGTCCTTCTTGCTCTGACTCTCAGAGCTACTTCCCCAAGCTCCAAGACCAGACTCCTTGATGCCCCATTTTGTCTGACAAGTTCCCACTCGGGGCCAGTGTCTGGTCTGTCTGGGGAGCAGGCTGAAGGAGGAGCTCTCCCTCAGGCGCAGTGACACACATCAGTGTGTCTCATGCCACCTCTTCTTCCTGACTCAAGGGCCACTCAGACCCTTTTGCATACTCTTTCCCCCCTTGTCTTGATGGGCAAATGCGTTTGTGTAGGCCTGAATACTGCGCAGTCCTACATTCCCAGCAAGGATTTGTGAGCCAGGGTCAGAGCATCAGAGCCATGGACAGCCACAGCCAGCCACAGCTCGTGGTTTGTCACACTCGCCCCTTCTAAGCACTTCATTGACTTGCTGCTCCTCTTCTTTACCCTAGTGCTCTGGGTGGGAAAGAATTAATCATCTTCATTTGTTGAGGGACAGCCACTTAACCGGGGTCAGACCAAGGGGGGGGTAGCATTTCTTTCTTGCCTCTCTCAAGAAAAGGGTCTTCACTGTGGCCAGGGCCCTACCACCCTCCCCCAGAAAAGTACAATAATTTAACACAGTTGCCTGAAGAGATTTTTTTGTAAATCATTCATTGTAGTAATAATTATGAAAAAAATCATCTGAATTTAGTGGCAATCATGCAGAGGATCTGGATGAATCATTTGTAATTGGGACCTCACCTCCCTTCCATATAGGAATGGGGGGAAAGGATTGGGCTTGCTAGTCTTAGTTGACTGGAGTTGTGAAGGTATCCAAAGAATTAAAGGAGTTGGAGATGAGGCCTGGAAACATTCAAGGAGAAAAAAAAGAAATCTTTATTACTTTCAGTCTCAGCTCTTAGAAATAGTTGAAGTGACTAACACACTAATTTTGGTTTTGAAAGTCACATCACACCCATTAGTATATCTACCCTAGAGAATTCCCCATCAAGTTGCCTTTCTTTCCTCCTTATCTTCTATTGAAGTAAGATAGATTTCCTTAGGATTTTTATTAAGAATTATATACACCTCACAAATAATTTTCATAAAGTTACATTATAGAGTTAAAAAACTGTCTACACACCAAACAAACAACGTATCTACACCTAGGGAATAAAACTTCTCTCTTGTTTTTGCTTATATTTTGCTTTATCTTCAAAGAATCCAGAGTTTGTTAAATAGATTAAGTAACAGTACTTGGAGAAGCAAGGCTACTTGAGACATCTGCTTGAGGCATCAAGATATTTCTTCAACAAGAAATCAAATTTCTTAAGTTCTATTTTTCTGGTCTGGAACTCATTATCTAGCCTTTTGAAGTCATGATCATTCTGTCCCAAACTCCTGAGTGGTGTGATTAAGCATGAACAACTTTGTGTGTGTATGTTCCTGAGGATTGAACCCAGGGCCTTGTGCAAGCTAGGCATGTGTTCAACTCTTGTAGTCACAACTCAGCCCTTTTTGTTTGTATTTTGTTTTACTGTGTGTGCCTAAGGGGACCTCCAACTCAAGATTCTCTGCCTCTGCAATCGCTGTAATGACAGGTCTATGTCAGCATGCCTTTAATTTGTTTATTAGAACTCCAGTATTAAAGACATTTCGCTTGAATTATCTGGAAAAGATCAAAAGGTTCAAAAGAAAATTCTTCTCATTCTTAGACACCCAAACCAAAATTCAGTTTTGGAAGGCTTCCTCATCCGTAAGATGTTCAGGAATCTGCAATGGACTGGACCCCAAAAACCCAGCACCCCACAGTTGGGAGCACAGGGACTGCTTTTCTTCCTTGTCCAGAAACCATCATGAACTCAAAAGGGGTCATGGCCTAAAAGATCAAGGTAGTTTGCCATCCAGTAGAGATAAAAGTAGCTCTCCTTCTGAGAAGCAACCTCAATTCCCCAGGCTGACCTCACAGATCAGCAGCAGCAGCCTGTGCCAGCACAGAAGGAAAAGAGGAAGGAAGATATGAAGGAGGGGCTCTCTTCCTAGCAAAGAGGACATGAGAGAAACTCCAGCATATCCAACCACCTGCAACAGCTCTGTTTGTCCTTAGACTTTTCTCTCTACATTTGACATCTCCAGTAGAAATTAATAATGATAATAATATATCACACCAGTATTTTTATTATCTTGAAGTAGTTGTAGAAAGGAGTTGCTAATTAACAAAGCAGTTTATAAATACAATGCATCGGGCTGGGAAGGTGGCTCAGTGGTAGAGCGCTTGCCTTGCATGCCTGAGGCCCTGGGTTCGATTCCTCAGCACCACATAAGCAAAAAGAAAAAAGCCGGAAGTGGCGCTGTAGCTCAAGTGGTAGAGTGCTCGCCTTGAGCTGAAGAGCTGAGGGACAGCTCCCAGGCCCAGAGTTCAAGCCCCACGACCAACAACAACAAAAAAAAAAATACAGTTTTCTACAGTATCACTTCACAGCCAAATATAGTCCAAATACCTTAACACGCTATTCATGACCCCCCTACAAAAGAGCCATCTCTGACTGTACCTGTCTTGAATTCTGTAATACAGTAATACCATAGATGTGCCACTTTGTCCTTCTGAAATGTTTGTCTCATTTTTCAAACCCTGTCTACGCATTAAAACTAAGGAGAGTTTCAAGTTCTGCCTCTTCTATGAAGCCTTTCCCATTAACTTACTAATTTCTTCTTTTTCATGACACTCAATATCAAAAAATACAATTGTTGTAGAGATCCCATTGTGTATCAAAGACCATATTCAAGATACAGAAATCCTGGGCTGAGTACAGTGACTCATGGCTATAATTCCAACACTACAGAGATTGAAGTACAAATATCATGAATTGAAAGTCAATCTAGGCTAGACAACAAGACTCCCAGTTCAAAAATAAATGAGAGAGAGAGAGAAAGAGAGAGAATGTACAATTCCTGCTGTCCAGAAGTTTCTGTATAGTAGAAAGAGAACATTTAACATACTACACTGTAATGATGTATGTACCTTCTGCCAAAGATGTTCAGGGAAGGAGCACAGACAGCCTGTAGATTCAGAATAACTTTTCAGAGGAGAAGCACCAGAGCTGAGCCTTAAAAGGAAGGATAATTGTCTAGGCAGAGACCAAGTGAAGACAATTTCAGAAGTACAGGTAAGCCTGAAACATGAAGTGCACTGGGGTGGGGGCAGGAAGCTGTAGAGCAGGCAGGAATCACATTGCAAAGAGCCCTATTTTTAAAACTATCCCAAAACCTCTGCTTAAAACAGGAGCCATTAACTCTTGCTCATGAATCTAGGATCGACTGGAAAGCTCTTCTGGTCTGAACTGGATCATTTAATGCATCTGAAGTCCTACTGTGTGCTAGGGAAACCTTTCTGCCCCTCTTGACTGAGCTTCCTCCATGTTCCAGGGCTGTCTGGCTGTCAGTGGATTTAGGCTGGCCTTGGATCTTCTCCACATGCCTCTTGCACATCTGCAGAAGGTTAGCCTGGCATGTTCCCACCACAAGGAAGAAAGGAAAAAGAAAACACATCCATAAACATAGAGAAGTACAGAGGAAATATGTGTGCTTTCCAAGCCTCTGCTTCTATCCACACATCAAAACAAGTTATCCAAATGAGGCCAGAGTCAGAGTAGAAGGGAACCACAAAGGTACAGGGCAAAGGCTGTAGTAACAGGGACGGACTAGTCATACAATCAACCCACATAGTGCCTATAAAGGAGTTTTCATTTTTGTACTACTACACACATTGTCATTCTTATTGATAAACTCTTGAGCACAGGAACTGTGTTTTTCTCTTCCTCCATCTCTCATAGTAGTCAGCAATATTCACAAAGTAGACACCAATAAATTTTGATAGACTATACCTGAATCTCTATTGCATATACACTTCAGCTCTGATTTTTCAATACATGCATTATTTCCAATTAGTTTTTATAACTCCCAATTATTATCTAAACATCTCTCCTTTCAGCTCAGCAGTTGCAGAGATTCATAAACAATCAGACCTCCATCATTTTGCAAATTTCAAACTGGCCCTCACTCTTTACAAGAAAGGAATTCCCTCTCAGCTGTTGGCAAACAGGTCTCTCTTCCCTAGCCCTCCTCTGTAGCCTTCTGATTCTTGAGCAGAAGCAAACAGAAATGCCTTCAGGGTTTCAGGGGAAATGCTTGGTTTGAGGCTTCCCAAAAGTCATGACAGCCCCTGGACACCAAGTTAGTTAAGTCAAACCAGTACACTTTGTCATTATGCACTGAAAAACAAGCCACCTAAATCCCCTCTGGGCATGTTCTGCCTGCTGAGTCCCCATTCCTCTTCCCATAATCCCACCCAGCTAATAATGATACCCGGAGAAGTAGCCTTTCTCTGGGCACCAAGTAGCAAATGTCTTAAAGTTGTCTTTGACGGTTTTCTTCCTTTCACACTCCACGTTCAGTCCAGAAGCAAATCATATCAATTTTATCTCAAAATATGTACAGAATTTGACTATTTCTTCATCAGTGCCACCACCACCACCCTGCTCTAGATCATGATGATTTCTAACTTGGATTACAAGAATAGCCTCCTACATACTCTCTCTCCCACACTGTCCCTTGCACGTTAACTAAATACAAGCTTTATCCTTTAACTCTTCTGCTCAAGACTCCCCAGAGGATGCTTCTTGCTCAGAATAGAAGCCAAATTCTTACAGTGGTTATGAGGAACCACATGATTTTCCTCCACCCCTTTAGTATTACCTACTAAAGCCTCCTTGGCTTACTTCAGTGCAGCCACAATGGCCTTCTTGTTGTTCTTAAACATGCCCATCCAAATATCCCCTTGGGTCTGTGCCTTTGATATTCTTCAATCTGGAATTCGACTGACACAGAGACACACATGGCCCACCATTTCTCTGCTTAAAGGTTGTTTTATCAAAAGTCCTTCATTAGCTGGGTGCCAGTGGCTCACATCAGGAGGTTGAGATAGAAGGATCTCAGTTTAAAGTTAGACCAGGTATGAAATTTCATTGAGACTTTTGTCTCTAGCCATCAAAAATCTGAGAGTGGAGGTGTGGCTCAAGTGATAAGAGCATCAGCCTTGAACAAAAAATCTAAGGGACAGTGCCCAGGTCCAGAGTTCAAGTCCCCGAACTGACACACACACACACACACACACACACACACACACACACACACACAAAGTCTTTTATTATGTATCCATGATGAATTAGCATTTCCCTCCTCACTCCACTCACCCTCTAGTCCCTTCCTCTCTGTTATCTTTATTATGTCTTTCTTATTTATTTGCTCTTGTTTATCTTTTGCCTTCTCACTAAAATATGAGTGGTGACCAAGCAATGACCTATCTTATTCACTGTTTTATCCCCAGAGACTAGAATCTATGTTAGGTATGATAGACCTTGGATAAATATTGAATCAAATTGCTATGCTCTATTCACATTGCACATAAACATTGGGCACAGGCTTACTAAATAAATTGCTAGATTTTATTCTTCTTGTCTCTCATTAGCCCATTCTTCAAACCTACTCAGGATTTGCATTTATTTGCCTATGACACTAAGATACTGGAGAAAAATGAATTCCATGTGTTTAATAAAGCATAATTTATTTGAAGATATAGTATAGCATATCTTTGACAAGTGTGTGGATTCTGAAAACAGAAGAAGATTTGATCAGGCTCAGTTAAAGGGGAAGTGAACTCAAATGAGCCATTACGGGGATTCCAATCACTCCGTTAAAGATCCCATAGCTTGATTCTGGTTTTGCAGCTGAGGAAATTGGTCCACCCAAAATCATGCACTGGCTTAATGGCTGAACTCAGATTATTTCCACAGTACCCCTAGTTCATGATTCTTTCTTTTGCTCTATAATTACTTCCATGATTCCATGGTGTTTTAAAAGAATTAATTTCAGACATTTTCTTTAAGGAAAAGAGAAAGTAAGTTCTCAGACAAATTTCTACTTAGTGTGTGTGTGAGCATAACGGATGTGCCTAATCTCCCTGGATGCACGTGTGGAATTCTGAGCATGGAGTGATAATGCCACCAGCTTCTCTATATGCAAAGAAGCACTTGCTAACCTGATCCCCTAATACCAAAGAAGTGCCAGGTTTTACCAATATATACTGAATGCTATTTGTACATGTCCAGACTAAATCATCAAACTGAGTATCCACTGAAATTCTTGGACATTACCCAGGCTTTACCAAGCTATCTCATGTCTAAATGTCACCCAAAGCAGTCAACTCTGAAGGTCACTAGCTGGAACCTAGCATGGGGACCCTCACAGGGAGTTAATCACCTCTCAAATGTCCGTAGAGCCATCAATTGAGCAAGCACCATCAGATGTATTTCTGTGGTTTATTGTGGTTTACTTTTCAGATGTAAGTCAAAATGGTTTTCAAATAGTATGCTATACAGCATAGCACCCCATTCACTTTACAAAATAAAATTTTTACAAGATAAAATTTATTTTTGCAGCAACTGAGTATAAATACTGCTAGAATTAAGTCTATCAAGATTTAAAAGGTAGCATCATGACAAACCAGCAGCAAAGAACAATTGTGTGCTTTCTAAATCATGTAAACACTATTCCATGGACATATAAAGCATTAAGGGAGCAGCCATAAACTAGAGTACCCTCAAACACACACAGGGTACTGACAAGCACATACTAGAGTACCCTCAAACACACACAGGGTACTGACAAGCACATGGACACTAGTAGACATTGCCTTATCATACAAGAGATGGTGGTATCACCTTGACTCCTTTAAGCCCTTTATTTGAATTACCAATAAGTATAGACTTGAAAGTGTGCCACAAACACAGCCTCTAACAGGAAGCTAGAAACTTCCTCATGGAGGACCTGTGAACAGTGAGAGATTTATTCTGATTTCAGGCATCTGAGAATATACCTTCACATGAAATATGGAGTAAGGGGAAGGCTTTATTTAAGGATGGACTCTGCATCCCAGAGGCAATTTTCAGAAGTGAGTAGGCAAGGAAAAGTAAGCCAACCCTAAATCTGATGTCACTATCAGAGGATATTATATAATCTCGGACGCATTCTTTGCTCTAGCTATGCTTTAAAGAGAAACTATCCCTTAGAGTGTCAAAAAAAAAAAAACAGGCATCATAGTATCTCAAATGCAAATGTTTCTCTGCCTTTTAGCTCTCAACAATTTTATTGGCAATGACTGCTTTGTGTTGTTGGGGTTTTTTTTTTCACATTTTGTTCTTGTTGTTCTATGAAGGTTTCTGTCTGAACCAGAGGATGATGACAAAATCCTTGTCAGAGGTCATTGGAGAAGTTTTTGCTTCAATAGATTTTAAAAGAGAATTAAGTATAAGAGCTTCCCATCCTTGTCAATCATCTTCATCCAAACTAACAGCCTTTGCCAGGATCAGAGGTTGTAGGGAGGGAAAAAAGAGAGCTGGAAGAAAGTAATGACATGAATTGTTTCTTGCAGCTGCTGTTTCTCAGTAACAACTGTTCAAGCAAAACAAACGATCACTTCAGAAAACCAGTGACAGAGAGAAGCCAACAGAAAGAGATAATTCTATTCCTAATTTAGAGATCAGATAGTTTGAAAATGCTTGAACCTAGCTGGTATCCTAATTTTGTTTCATTTAACCTAGTTACATTAAATGTAACCTAGTTATAGTTAACCTAATAATCGAATAATGCAACATAAATATGACAAACATGCATAGTATTATATAATGTCTATATTATATAATATTATCCCCAGTATCTACTATACACCTGGTTTCTAATTTCTGGGTTGGTTTGTTTATTTGCTTACAGTGTTGGAGATCAAGATAAAATATGTTTTAACTAAGGGAGGCAGTATAGCTAAAAGCTTGGACCTGGCATCTCACAAAGATGCAGCCCCAACTTTGTCTCTTATATGACCTTGACCAAGTTTCCTTGCCTCCTTTAAGGCTCAATTTACTCAACTGCTAAGTAGAAGTTGACTTTTGTCTTCGGTATGGTCACTGTAAGGAGGAAGAGAGACAATGTGGGAAGTATAAGCACCATATCACGCCCTTAGACAGTTCCTAGTAAATGTTTGCACTTGTAGTCAGTAAGTGTATGAGTAAACAGTCTTTCCTCCAGGCTTCTCATTTCCTAAGAACAAGGAGGGAAGCATTTGAAAGCAGTTGCAGTGAGTTTGTCATGCCGGATTGCTGAAGGAGATGACTGTAACTTGCTAGGCTCAGTTTGCTGTTGCAAGGAAGGCGTGCTGCAAAGCTGTGCTCCTTGGAAGGGATCCTCCCCCTCCCTTCTCCCAGCATGCTTGAGGACTTCAGTTCGTGGGTGATGGAGCCTGTCCACAAGGGTGGTGACTGTTACATGGAATGTTCAGGTTGTTCCACTGCGGGAAGTAAGAAGTAGAAAACATTTATAGCCGCCCAGGGCAAAAGTCCACCATGGTAACAAGGGACAGACACGGGGATGTGCGGCTTTAAATTTTTTAATCTCCTTTTTTTTAATAGACAAAAATTATGAAGTGTCCTTAGCTTTAGATCTTAGCCATTTCCCCAACAATGTTTACTTGACCGACTAGAACTTCGTTAACACATCAAGAACGACTGAATTTCGTGTAACCAAAATAAGACAAGGGAATATTATTTAGGTCCATGTGAATGATGAAAATCCAGGAGGAATTTTACAATTACAGGTTTCCTATGACAAAAGAACCAAAATGGCCCTGTGGTCCCTAAACTGATTTTATGTGAGTTCTGACCTCGGAAGTGGGTGGCATCTTAACTTACAGGGCCTGATGGACTATCCCAATTTTCCACCAGGCATAAGACATCTGGTCACATGCACAATCTAACTGCCGTATCTAATGACATGCTGTTAAAAACTGTTTTAAAAATGCTTCCTGAAAGAACACAGAATGCATAAACATGAAGGTATTTGCCAGTGTCAGAAGTTGCAGAAGTGCTGAATGACACTGAGCTGAGCTGGCTTCCAGCCAAGTGAAGCACTTCATCCCCACAGAAAGTATAGTGCTGTCCTTGTGTTGTAATATGGCATTTTAAAATGAAGCATTGTGTTTCTGCTGAGTCTTGAACAAAAATAAATAAATAAATAAATAAATAAATAAATAAATGAGAATCTGGCTTCCTTAGAGGAAAGGGGAGAAATGTACTTTTGCTTTCAGGGTAGAGGATGTTTGCCTGGTCCCTCAAACTACACATTTGGCTCATCTTTTTAAACATTCTGCCTTTCACATACGGAGTCTCAATGAAAGCTGCTGACCAATTGGAGATTTGGGGTGGAGGAAGAAAAAGCAACAAAAATTATTCTGAACAAAATAGATTCGTGTCTGAAATACCATAGTGAAATCCCTTGGTATAATTAGTACATACTCAAAAAAAAAAAAAAAAGAATGACAGGGAAGTAAAATCAGCTCTGTTGGGGGTGTGGGAACCAGCGGGAATAGGGAGAATTAATGAAGAGGGTGATGAAGATGACTATGGTCTAAGCAATTTATTTGCATGTGTGAAAACAGAATAATAAAACCTGTTGAAATTGTTTTAGGAAATGTGGTAAGAAAACATGATAAATGGGGTTTGATTGGGATACATATGTATGGAAATGTCACAATGACTCCCCCCTTTATATACGAAAATAGGCAGGGGCGGGGAGTGTAGTCATGGAGATGGGAGGGCAGGGATGGTAAGGGAAAAACAAAGGAAACAAAAGGAAAAACAATGCTTGATAAGAAATGTACTCATTACCTTGCTCATGTAATTGTAACCGCTCTGTACTGTATTTTCCCAATAAAAAAACTTATTATCAATAAAAATAAAATAATAAAATAATTTTTTAAAATTCTGCCTTTCAACCCTTTGACCCAAATTTGAAAGTGTTTATTATGTGCAACATCTTTTGCTCTACATGTTTGCAGAAGGGTACTGGCTATGACTAAGAGGCTTGATGTACAAGAAATGTGGGTGGAAGGAAGTGAGCATCGAAAATAGGCTTCCCATGTGTCCCTGCCTTTCCCTGAGTTGTCTCCAGCCGTGAATGCAGAAACCTTCTCCAAACTTAGTGATCAAACCCACAAGATATCTCCACATTTTTAGGACTCTTATTTTAATGTGGAAAATAAGCTCAGGCACATATGCTGTAGTGCAGAAAGGCAAGTCTAGTTGAAAGGGTTTAAGAAGGTTGTCATTATGAAAGGTTGATTGCTAGTTGGAAAAGAACAAAGGTTACTAGAGTTCAACTTCCACATTTTTATTTTTTGTTTTCTATTTCCTGGAGTTGTATAATGTGGTGCGTTAGGCTACAGACTGAAGTCATATTTTACCCTAATAAAATGTTCTTATGGTTCCTATAGCTCAATCCCATTCTTCCTCTAGTTCAATACTACAAGCACCTCTCTGTTTTGTTTTGTTATTATTAGTATTAACTAGTTGTAAAAAGGGATTATAATTCTATTAACTTCTTTCTGTTTTGAAAACATAAAAACCTAATTTTTATCAATTGATCTATGTTCTAAATTGATTTTGTTGAAATCTTAGCCACTAATCCCTATTAACTTTCAGCTTCTTATTGGCTTTAATTTGAAAGTTATTATGCCCACAAAACAGGAAGGCTGTTTAATTTGAAAGTTATTATGCCCACAAGCCAACCATGTACACACACATTAAAACGAGTATCTAATAACTATAATGATAAATATAATGAATATCTAATAAAATCAATTATCTTCACTTTACAACAGAATTAGGACATAGTAGAGTTCATCAATTTTCCAGGTTCATAGGTCTAATAAATGGAAGAGCAAGGAGTTAAATCAAGCTGCCTTAACACCCATTACATAATGCTACCTTCCAAATTTTTAATCTGTTTTTATTTGTCCTGGGCAAATATTATGCTCCTATTTAAAAAGCTAAGGAAAAAAAGGAAAGTGGCAGCTGCTGAAGGGAGAGAAGCAAATGGAAAATCGTGTAGTTCTTTCTTCATCTACAAAGTTCAGTGAGGGACAAACACAACCATGGTCCTTTGGGTTGTTGTGCAGTTGTTATCTTCAGAGAGCTAACACTTTAATTTAAAAGACACCAGAGAACACAAGTCAAAAATCAAGTAATTACTACAATTAAGGCATGGTGGATCTGAAAGTAACAGAAGATTTTCCAGCTTGTTGACAAACACCTGAAAAGATGTGTTTCGCTTACTAATCATTTGTATCACTTCTGTTTTAATCTGTTCATTAAGAACATTTGACAGGTTTACCAGAATTTACATACTGCATACTAATTTTGAGTAGACTTTGAAGTCAATGGACTGAAAAGTCTATTTTATATTGTTCAATGTTGTCAGAAACAATTGAAAGTAGTAAAAAAAATTTTTTTTAACATTTTTGAAAAGCAAACCAATAATATGGGTCAGCCTTCCACATTTTATCTACTTTATTAATAAATAGGCTCATGAGGTAAAGGTATATGTACAAGAATATTAACTTACTCCTTGATGAATAATAAATTGGAAAAATCCAATGGCCATCAGTTGGGAATTATATTCTGGTAATATATACAATGAGTTGCTCTGCTGTTATTATTTAGAATTTAATACTTGTTAAAAGAAAGAAAGCCTGCCTGGTAAATTACCAAGTAAAAACCAAAAGTACAAAAGAACATGATACTGTTTACATTAAAATTTACATATACCCACTATATGTGTATATTAGTGTGTATACTCACACATACATATATGTACATATACAAATGTACCTTTGTATATACGTACATATATCTGCATAGTCTATACATCCATATACACAAATGCATGCATAGAGTAGATAAAACAAGATACCTTAGCAATATCAGGAAGGATGCTTACCGAAATGCTAATATTGATTAGGAAATCAATCATTGCTTGACTTTTCTGCATTCATCTATTATTTTTGTAATCAGAAAAGAACAAAAAAATTTCAGGTAGAAGAAGGGAATGTAACTTCTGTTAGACTTACATATTATAAAGTGGCATTTTCCAGAAAGAACATCTCAAAATTATATCTAGTATAGTAGCAACTCACCTTGAAGCAAGTGTTTTCTTCATCAGATAATAGACAAACTTGATGAGTTTGTCATTGTCAGAAAAATTGCATCAAAATTTGCAGACATAAATTTAGACTTAGCTATTTTGTTCTCAGTGCGGACAGTCAAAAAAGAGTCCAAATTGCCGTGTCACGCATCATCCATGTTTTAGTGGAGGAAATACAAGTCTATGGTTTTTTTGTTTGTTTGCCTTGTGTGTGTGTGTGTGTGTGTGTGTGTGTATGCTGCTCCTGAGACTTGAACTCAGGGACTGGGCGCTATCCCTGAGCTTTTGTACTCAGGGAATTCTACCTTTGAGCCACAGCGCCACTTCCATCCTTTTCTGCATAGTTTATTGGTGATGAGAGTCTCAGGGACTTTCCTGCCCAGGCTAGCTTTGAACCTCCATCCTCATATCTCAGCCTCCTGAGTAGCTAGGATTACAGGCATGAGCCACTGGCACCCTGTAGGTCTATGATTTTCACTTAGCTCCACTCTAGAGGTGACAAAGAAGGCCTTCACTAACATTGAAGGTGTTTCTAAGGTGATTCTACTGATTGGTAATATATAGTTATATAACCAAGTATTTACATGGCTGGAAGACATATACTGTATTTTTCTTCTCTTATTTTCTTTACCTGTACTGCTGTGTTTACAAACTATATGACAAAACTGTCCAAAATCCATTTCCAGTTTTTATATATTGTAATTTGAATCTCTAAATTCACTTTAACTAAGCATTTAGGCGCTACAAATTCACTTAATCAATAAAGATATAGCAGTGGGCCCTGGTGGCTCACACCTGTAATCTTAGTTACTCAGGAGGCTGAGATGTAAGGATTGCAGTTCAAAGCCAGCGCCAGCCTTGGCAGGAAAGTCTGTGAGACTCCTATCTCCAATTAATCTCCAAAACACCAGAAGTGGAGCTGTGGTAGAGCGCTAGCCTTGAATTAAAAACAAACTCAGGAACAGTGCTTGGGCCCTGAGTTCAAGACTGACAACCAACCAAAAGAAAAAGAAAAGCATCATTTCCATTGGGTTGCTAACTAATTTGGGCTTGAGTTTCCTCATGTGTAAAATTAGGACTTAGGTTTCTTCTCTGGCTAACATTCTAAGATTCTATTATTTATAGTTCTAGGAAATGTGTTCTTGGGATTTAAAAGTTGCACTATTCTCAACAGATAGATTTTAGAATCAAATGCATTTGCAATTATGGGAGTGAACTGGTATGTCAAGAGTGTGTGTTCTTGTTGCATTTCTGCCATAACTAAATGAAAGCAATTACCAGTTTTTAAAATATGATTAAGTGGATTTGATCAACAAACTCATACCAAGTAAAGAGATGTAATGAAAACATACTACTCAGTAAAAAGAAGTAGAAAAATATCAAATGGAGAGGAAGGAAAAAGAACTTAAAACTTTGTAAAGAATTAAGCCAAAGGAAAACCAACCTTTATAAGCAAAATAACAAAATGACACAGAGATCTCTGCAGTTCATACTTTGTACAAATTTTTCTGAATTCTCTGTGACCTTCCTCTTGGTCCATTTGAACTTTGTCATCTTCAAACAAATGATACACCATCTGCCAGATTCCAAACCATGATCTTCCTCATATACATTTCTGAGGTTAAAAACCAAATCATTTTCTATAAAAGCATATAATTTACAAAGTTACTCGGGGCCAAAATGAAAGAAGTTCTCAAACTCTCAAATACTTTTAGTTCACCCTTTCATGAATGTTACATGTTTGAATATTTTGGGCCTGAAATTTATAGAAATCGCTCGAATAGTAAATTCCAACTTTTAATGCCAATTTCAGTGTATTAAAAAAAAAAGAACTACTTAGTTGAGCAATCTGAAAAATAAGTGGAGAAGTAGATTGTCGCATAAAAGAGCACTAGACCAGATCCCTGGACTTGCCACTTGCCGAGAGCATGAACAATTCATTCAGCCTCTGAACCTCACTTTTTTCTGTCTTAAAAACCTCTTTTCAGAATTATATTGGGCACTTTAGAGTTTGTTGAAACCCTGATCCTGTTACTGACCACAATGGAGCAATTTTCTTATACATTCTGTCTTTTCATCTATAAAAATGGAACAAGAATATCCCCATACTTTGTGAAATTATGTAACACGGCTACCAGAGAAGAGGTGCTTCATAAATGTTACCTCCCTTCCTCCCTGCCCTCTCCTGCATTCCTATCTTATTCCTTTACAAATATAATTAAGTGCTTTATACTATCTTTTAAATATAATGGTTTTAATTCACATTTTTAAACTTACAATCAGGTATAATATTTATATACAATGAAGGAGGTAAAGTCCACAAATAACACATTTTATATGTATATACCACCAACTTAACACCTCTCAAAGTCAGATATAGTACATCCAAAATACCAAATGTAAAGGAAGGAAAAGAGTTTTTAAAGGAATGAAATACAGAAAAAAGTACTTTCACACCCTAGAATATTCCCACTTGTCACCTCCAGTCAACAGCTTTCCAGAGATAATTATTATTATGATTTATACCATTATCACTGAATTATTTCTAAATGATATCTCTCCAAAATGGTCAGAATATCCACACAAGGAATAGAAAAGCAACAGTTCAAAAAAGGAATGGGAGCTGAATATTGTTATCATTGGAAAAGTATCAAGGTATATTGTATATCAATGATGTAATTGAAAATTAATGACAGAAATGATCATGACAAGAAGGATGGGAGGTGAAAAGAAGGAAAAGAGAGCCAGGAGCAAGTGACTCAGTCCTATAAACTTTGCTTAGCAGGAGATAAGATGGAGACAATTGTGGCTCTAGGTCAGCCCAGGCAGAAAACGTCTACAAGACTCAAGACTTCAGAATCAAAGGGAGAAGCTGGGTGTGGTGGCAAACACCTGTCATCCCAGTTACACTGGGAAGCCAAATTTAAGAATAACTTAGTTCAGGCAAGTGCCTAGGCTAAAAGAGAGACCCTATCTCAAAATACCAGAGTGAGGTATGGAGAGGAACATGACTCAACAGTAGTTGCCAGCTGAATAAGTGCAAAATCCTGAGTTCAAACCCCAGAATGAGAAAGAAAGAAAGAAAGAAAGAAAGAAAGAAAGAAAGAAAGAAAGAAAGAAAGAAAGAAAGAAAGAAAGAAAGAAAGAAAGAAAGAAAAAAGGAAGGAAGGAAGGAAGGGAAGGAAGGAAGGAAGGAAGGAAAAAGAAGGGAAGGAGGGAGGGAGGGAAGGAAGGAAGGAAGGAAAGAAAAAAGAGAGAGAAAGAAAGAGAGAAAGAGAGGAAGAGAGAGAGAGAAAGAGAGAGGGTGAGGGAGGGAGGAAGAAGTAACATGAAAGATAATTTTCTTTATTCGTTTTTAAACCTTACCAAGTTTGTCCTTGTTTTGTAGCAGAAGGAACAAGCTAAAGTTGGACATCAGCACCTAAATTGGAAACATAGCATGAAGCGGTGATAGGTACAGATGTACAGAAGCCAATTCTCTCCTCTCCCTCTGATTAGGACTTGGACACCATATCCTGAGTTGAAACTCCTCATAATCTTTGCAGGTCCTCATCTCCCTACTCACAGCCTAAGGGCCAAAATGGAAGGGAGAGAAGACAGAGAGAGCACTGTTGGTTCAAGTGGGTTCAAACGGTTGCAGCCCTGCTTCATACTTGCAATATGGATGCCAGAGCTGGCTGGTGTTTATCAGTCTTCCTAAAAGTAATAAACAGATATAGTTTCTCCCGAAATGGAGTGAACAAATGCAGCCTCAAAGAGGCACGTAACTGTTTTTAACCTGCTGATTGGCCAGAAATCACTATAATGGAACAAAGCTTTGTCTGAACTTACCTAATTTGCATCTAAACTTAGGGAAAAACTAAAATTTTCAAACAGTAAGTAATAGGCTTCTCTTCAAAACAACACAAAAACTAATAGTTGGATACCACCTTCACTGTTCCTTTGTAGGTAAATAAATCTAGTTGATGCACTCCACTATAATTAATGCTTTTCTTTCTCAATTGCCAGTATGAGCCTTGAGAACCTCATTGGTAACAATTCTCACAGCCTAAACCCTTACCCCGTACAACATAAACTTCTTTCCTCTTGCCCTGTTATTTGTGGAGATGAGAAACAACCAGAGTCTTGTAGTGATTCTTCACATGAGTTGGAACTTTTTTCCCCTCTAAGCTAAATAACCCTACAGCTTTTTTGGCCTTTCCTCATACCCCTTATTTTCCAGCCTTAATTACATTTTTGCTGTTCCCTGGAGCTCTGCCAGTTCCCCACATCCTCCTTAAAGGGGAGATGCAAAGTAGCCAAGGTTGGGGTCAGACCAGGGCTGGGAAAAGCTAACAGGCCACTTCCTGCCCTTTGCCTTTCAGACATCCACTATCGCCTGGTTTTATAAATAAATAACACACTTGTTTAATTCTATCAGAGCTGCCATATTGGGCTGAGAGTCTCTTACCCTTGCATCATAGCATTTTTAAATTACCCATTCTTTATTATTATTATTATCTTTAAGTAGTTGTACAAAGGGGTTTCAATTCAACACATCAATTTTTTAGTGCAATGCATATTCCATCACTCATAGCATTTTATTTTATCCTATTAATTTTCTAGTTGTTTGTTTTAGTTTTTGGAAACAGAGGCATGGTACATCCCCCATGCTAGCCCGAAACCCATTATCCTTCTGTCTCAGCCTCCTGAAGGCTGAGATTACAGGCATGCATTACCACACTCAGATCATCCTATGAACATTTTGCTTACACCCCTTTGATTTTTTATATTTAATTCATAAGACCTTACCCAATGAGCTTTCCTTTCTCCATTTTCTCACAAAATTTGTCACAACATGAGAAAGTGCCTTTCAAGAAGTCAGGCCATCATTCAAGATTTACTGAATCTTTCCTTGTGTCCCCCAGGTGAACTACCAACACTCAGGCAATGACCACTCCTAAGAGACTATGCCAGGAAAATGGGAATTAATTTATTCATTATTTCTTTACTATAAATGAAGATATTGTTAATCCCAATTTATTGAAGAAACTGAGGAGGTTAACTAGATAAAAAGTATTTGTTAGGGCCACAGAACAGTCCAGTGTTGTATTCACATACGGGTCTCTCCTCAGAACTCACTGTGCTATACTGCTCCAAAACCAATGTCCACTGGCAGAAAGTAAACATGCTTCATTCCATAAGTAAATGCCTGGTTTTCCCTCTAATCAATCACAATCAAGTGTGTCTGACAGACTTAAGGAAAGCAAAAGAAGAAAAGAAGAAACAAGGTAATGAAGAGAAAAATTAAAATCCTTCAAGGTGACCTTTCGGGTAACACTCTATAAGGTTTTCAAGAGCTCCATTTGTCTTGATCATAAAAGGAATGTACACAGAAACAAACTGATTTTATAGTTTGCCTCTTTTCCGAGACACAAAAATACCACCTGAAGACATGAGTCATATCACTAGAGAAGCATATTTGTGGCATATTTGTTTAATCAGTTGTTTCAACTAATAACTTGCCTCCAAATTATTTGGAGGAGATATATATTACTTATGACATTAAATCTGTTACTGCACTATTAACAAATTAATTTTATAAAAATAGAGTAGAAATGTGGGGGGAGGGCTGGAGCCATATGTCATGTGATAGAGTGCTTGCCTAGCAAATCAAAATCCTGGGTTCAATCCCTAACACCAACAGCACAAGAAGGAAGGGAAGAGAAGGGAAACAAGAAAAGGGAAGGGAAAGAAAGAAGAAATTATTTTCATTATAGAAAAATGTTTGCATACTATACTACATGGCTTTACGACTTTTTAAAAAATATTTTTAACGTGTTTATTCCAAGTAATTTTATTATTTACGAAGGAAAAAGCTTCAGTTGCATGGATTAACTATAAGGAAAATACAGTAACGTAACATAAAGTAAAATTTAATAAGAAATGCAAATTCAGGGAAGGTTGGCTTTTAAAAATTGATTTTCTGAAATCAATTTTTAAAAACTCCTACACAGAAATAGAATTTTTAGTTCTAGATCAATATCAGTTCTACAAACCCAATGTTATTAAGAAGAGTGACCCAAATGTTAAACTGTTCCTCAAGGATTTGACGAACTTTCTCTCCTTTTAAAATAAAAAATGTCCTACTTATAATACCAATTCTGACTAAAGCTAGACCTAGACTAAATCAAATGAGAATTACTTAAACATTTTTAAGTTTAGTTCCATGAGATTTTTATACCTTAACCTAACAGGTCTTAGTAATATTTTTATAGAAAAAAATGACAACTAGAGACCTTTATTGTATAGCCACTCTGATACAGATGTTTTATCTGGTGAAATAAAGATACTTGTTTAACTTTCTAAATAAACGAAATGGTTTCAGTATTTCTCAATAGTTCTTCTAGGACTGCTTGCTTGCAAAAATAAATCCATTTCAATCACTGCCTGGCCAAAGCTTGAACTTAAAAATAGAATCAACAGTTAATCAATAGGTAAACCTGCTGATGCAGTACAGAAAAACTAGGCCTGATTAGAGGTCATCCTGCTAAAACAGTAAACAACTTATTCTTGATAGAATTCAGCATAGAACATGCACCCTAGCAATTAAACCACATCATATAAACTTAGTTATATTCAGGTCCTCAATAAATGCTTGTTGAAATTGGGGCTGAAACAAATACGTGTATTAACTATTCTATCATGTGACATGGAGAAATAATCTTATAGTTCAGGTTTAAAATTAAGGCAGTCTTTGTTTTTCAACAACAGAATTCCTTTAACACTGCAGTTTTGTTTTATTTTTTAGGCAGTCTGCAAATACGTAAACATATACCGCTATAGCCTTGGCCAAAATACATGTTTCCTGGGGCTGGGCAGGTGGCTCAGTGGTAGAGCACTTGCCTTGCATGCTTGAGGCCTGGGTTCAATTCCTCAGCACCACATAAGCAAAAAGAAAAAAGCAGAAGTGGCTCTGTGGCTCAAGTGGTAGAGCTGAAGAGCTGAGGGACAGCGCCCAGGGCCCAGAGTTCAGGCCCCACAACTGGACCCCAAAAAAGAAAAAAATTAATAAATGTTTCCTGAACTAACCCTATCTGTAAACAGTAAGGTTTCATACTTAGAAATATATATAAATTGTTTTGTGGAATGACCTTCATTTAAATATGACCTAATTAGGCTACCTTTTAGGTGACTCTGCATCAGACTTAATTTGTAACTGCAAATGTTAAAAAGAAATTTAAATGGCAAACATCTATTCTTGGTCTTGTCCTCACAAAGTCTTGGTCTGGATTATCTACAGGCTCCAATGTTTGAGTATTTTACACAGTAGCTTTGAAAAAAAAGATATAGTCATTTTGTATACACAATAATTTTTGAATCTAGCCATGACTCAAGCATGCCAATAAAACATCAAGGGATTTAGCATCATGTCAGTTCCAAACCTCCCATTTTGTAAATAGATTCCTAAAATCACTGAACCAAGGTGAACAAAGCCAGGTGAGAACCATCATTAGTGCCTAATGGAAAGAAACAGGTAGGAAACACCTGAATTTCCTTACTTGTCTAAAATGGGTGAGCAGTCATAGATGATTTTTTTATAACATTTATTCATCTTTATCCACTCTTTGATCACAAGACTCCCTTGAAATAGATGTAAGCACTGGCCAGTGTTTTGAGTTCCTTGAAGTCAGTATCTGGTGAGGATACCATTTGATGGGAAAAAAATCTATGTACTTATAGACAAAGAAAGATGAGATTCAAATGACCAGACACCAGGCCATACTAAAGCTACCAGCACAACCATGTTCATTGCAGTATTATTTACCATAGCTAAGATATGGAACCAACCCAGATGTCCCTCAGTAGATGAATGGATCAAGAAAATGTGGCATATATATATACAATGGAATTCTATGTTTCCATCAAAAAGAATGACATCGCCCCATTCATAAGGAAATGGAAAGAATTGGAAAAGATCATATCAAGTGAAAGCCAGACCCAAAGAAACAGACTCCATGGTTTCCCTCACTTGAAATAATTAGTATATATCTAGGATAGTTCTAGAAAAGGATCACAGTAGCTCAATAGCTGTGTACATATGATCATATAGGATGATGCTAAGCAAATGAACTCAAAGATATGGAAACAAGAGGTTTTTCTTTGCTGTTGTTGTTTTTAATGTACTATGTGAAGTTATTTCTTGCTTATACATTTGTCTGAATTAAGAAAGTGAAGAGGAACAGCAAAAAGGTGAGACAAAGAACAAAGAGTGAACCAAGGCAACAGCAATACTCACAAGACAATATGTTGGAAATGAACTTTACAACTTGGGAATGAGGGAAAGTGGGAGAAAAATGAGGGAGGGGGTAACAGTGTTGGACAAGAAATGTACTCACTACCTTACATATGTAACTGTAACTCCTCTGTACAGCACCTTGACAATTAAATTAAATTAAAAGAAAAGAAAGATGAGATTACACCTTTAATGATTAAAGGATTAGGAGGCTGAAGCAGGAGGATTGTGAATTCAAGGCCAGTCTTGACTACACAAGTGAGTTAAACCCAGCCTG